TTCAGGCATTGGTCAGGACTGTATCATTCATACAGCCGGCCCACAGTCTTCTGACATAGGCTGTCTCCAGTTGATAAGAGCACAATCAATGCCTGTGACACTCCCTGCAATTAGCTTCCCTAATTAACCATTTGGCCAAGGAAATAGTCACTGCAGGGGGCTGATTTCCGGGGTTGAAAGAAACCAGAGGTGTTGAGTCACGAGTTTTACCATTTACAGTTTGAAACTGCCAAAAACTTGTTAATTTTGTTGAATGGAGAAGCACTATTTTTGTTAAATATATTGCTATGAAATGAATTAATCTCTTTGAGGAAGCCAGAAAATTAAAAGCCCTACTCAGACTCTGAATGAAGATTATGATTCAGTATGTTTTATAATGCTGCTGTTCTTTTTTGGTTTTGAATGTGCCATTGAGATTCACTGATAGGATGCATATCTGTGGTTTTAGAAACACGGTTTTTCCAGCCTATCTGCACCTGTTCCACACTATCAGAAGACATTGCAAGATGAGACTCATTGTGTTTATGCAATTAACAGCACCCTTGAGCATCTCCTGTCTGAACACGCATGCCTCCATCATTATCAATAACCATAAATAGCTCTTTCTGTGGAAACCTTGAGGGATGGGTGAGATAAGAAGCCACATTAGCCGTTCCCAACACGTAGGCACTATTCAACCTGCATTTTCCCATAGAACCGAAGGACTACAATAACAAAGGGCCTAAAATGGGAAAGAGATATACAGTAATGTAAAGAAGAAGCTTTCAACTTGAGGATTTGAAAAGGCCATGCACAGCAAGGATAAAATATAAAAAAAAATATCTGAAAAATTCTTGAAATAATGATAGGATATAACTAAGATATATGACACAGTTGAGAAGCTTGGGATTGGCAAGACTTTATTTTTATGGATTTAAAAGAAGTCCTTTATGCTCACCAAGGCTGCAGCTATTTTTGAAAAAATATTGAAATATTATTACAATTTAAAAAACAGTTTTTCGTTTGAAAATATTTTCAAATGTATTTTATTCGTGTGATGGCAAAGTGACATTTTCAGCAGTCTTCAGTGTCACATGATCCTTCAGAAATCATTCTAACATGATGGTTTGATGCACGAGAAACATTTATTTTTATTATCAACATTAAAAACAGCCGTGCTGCACAATATTGACAATAAGTATTGTAATTTTTCATGTTAATATGATATGATGGTTTTTAAGGGCTTTAACATTTCTTTTTTTTAAGATTTTGTGACTGGGTTGCCATTGGACATCCAATGTGAAATCTGCATTCTGAAGCAAAACCATTTAAATGACCACTGATGTATTGTCCACTATATATTCTCATCCGGTCATGCAAAAAAATTCCCATCACATACGAATGCACACATATCATGGGCAGCTATCCGTAAACAGGAGGTTAAATGTCTACAATTCAAGAACAGATTGATTGCCTGTCTCCTCTATGACGTGAATGAAGGCAGAAGCATAAATAAGAGTGACGGGCAGACGTGAATAGGCAAGCTGCTTGTGCTCCAAGGCCTGCGAACACTTCACACACACACACTCACGCAAGAGAAATGAATCTCATTTGCTGAAAAGAGGCTGATATTAATACCAAGGGGCAGACGGGCAGACGTGAATAGGCAAGCTGCTTGTGCTCCAAGGCCTGCGAACACTTCACACACACACACACACTCACGCAAGAGAAATGAATCTCATTTGCTGAAAAGAGGCTGATATTAATACCAAGGGGCACAGAAATATGCAGGGAATGGAGTTGTTTTAGCAGGGTGCTCCTTTGAACACGGCAAGGCTTTTTTTGTCTCTCTTCAAATGAACTTGAAGGAAACGTTTGAGTATTTTTAGGTCAAAGCATTTCCGCGGAGACCGCGTTTCTGGTTTTATTAATTCCAACGGTACGGTCCTTTGGATTTTAATGATATGTTCTGTTATTTTTTAAGTGATTTTTTTAGATACTTAATGAGAATACATTAGGTTACTTGCATAGCGGAACGTGTTTGTTGTCGCCATATGAGAACAAGCAAATATGCAATTAAATTCAGAGCGCGTATGCCTGTTGTGAATTTAGAAACAAGGGGACTGTAAACATATTTAGACAAGGTTTGAAGTTGCTTTTGCCATATTTTAGTTCTAGAATGCCTTGTTTCTTCACCATGAGCTTTATGATGGGTGATCTTATTACATTAGCTTAGCCAAGTGTTGGTCCACAAACGAGATTTAGGGCACTTATTAAACCAGAAATATATGCTCGCAAGATGAAAGCGGACCGATTTGACCTTGTCTGATATATTCTTTCATTTGTACTGGGTTCATCTGAGCTCTTCTTTGACCACTTCAGACCCAAAATTGCCTGCAGTCTCTGATCGGTTGTTAATAAAGCAGCATTCAGGCTCACACAGGAAGGTATCACACATGCAAGGAATAGCAACACTGTGCACAATCTATCATAGACATCCATTTTTGCACTGGGCTTTTGTTTGTTTGTTTGATGAAAGCATAAAAAAGAATGAAAAAAAGAGACTCAACCGAGACATGAAAAATTGGCTAGCCTGTCTACAGGGCCGTCTGACCTTGCTTTGTGATTTTAGAGGCATCAGTGTGCATTCAGCGGAGTTAAATTTAGTCATACTTGAGGCTGCGAGTCAGAATAAACTCTGAGGGTCTGTCCATTCTGTAGCAATACAGTGAATAGTTCACATTCACAAAGAAATTATTGAAATAACACAGATCCGTGCCATTTTTTATACTGAAACAAATGGCATAGAAAGGTAAATATTGATCGCATTGTAGTTTTTGTCTACAGGGCCGTCTGACCTTGCTTTGTGATTTTAGAGGCATCAGTGTGCATTCAGCGGAGTTAAATTTAGTCATACTTGAGGCTGCGAGTCAGAATAAACTCTGAGGGTCTGTCCATTCTGTAGCAATACAGTGAATAGTTCACATTCTCTCAAAGAAATTATTGAAATAACACAGAGCCGTGCCATTTTTTATACTGAAACAAATGGCATAGAAAGGTAAATATTGATCGCATTGTAGTTTTGGGCAGAGATGGGGTAAAATATGTTAGATATGCAGTGCTGGTATTCTTACAAAAATTCTCCATGGTAAGCATAGTTAAGTCAATTATTAGTAGTCCTTGTGAAGGCAAACGTCATTATTACTGTTGTTTACAATCATCATAACTTCCAGTTTGTGCTACGGACATTACTGATACCTTAAATCATGCAGCTTCTTACAGAGAGATTGCTATTACGTTACTGAGCAAAACAATCCCATTAATGTACATTTAAGGAGGGACGTACCATAGCCATATCTTGAGATTATAATAGCAAAATTATATAATAATAATATAACACTATTGTCGCGTGACCAACTCGAACAAAAGCGAAATCTGCATCTGGAGCTTTCCCAGCTTCACGCAAAATTCCTGATCATGCAGATATGAATTGATTGGATTCAGTTCGTGAAATTTTGCCGTAACTTTAAATGTGGACACACTTTTTTCTTGCAACCAGCTCAAACATAAGCTTCCGTTTCAGTTAACATTTTCAGCCTTACATGAAACTTTTGATTGTGCGAATGTGAAATTATTGGATTTTTCTCACAAAATTTTGCCGCAACTGTCTGTAAATATGGCCGCACCTTAAAGGGATTATAGTTCAATCTTTAATTAAAATTGTCATTAATTACTCACCCTCATGTCGTTCCAAACCCGTAAGACTTTCGTTCATCTTCAAAATTTAAAATAGTCCAAGTGACATCAGTGGTTCAACCACAATGTTATGAAGCTACGAGAATACTTTTTGTGCGCAATGAAAACAAAAATAACTTTATTCAACAATTTCTTCTCTTCTGTGTCAGACTTTGACGTGCGTTAACGACAGTACCATGACGCAAGATAAATGAAGGACTTACGGGTTTGGAACAACATGAGGATGAGTAATTAATGACAGAATTTAAATTTTTTTGTGTGAACTATCCCTTTAAGACACATTCATTGGTTAAAAAAACATGAGGGTGAGCACAGCCAAATGGAAAAGAGCACAGGGTCTTGTGAAGACTTTTTAAAAGTTGAACTTCTTGAATGCGTGAGATGCGACAGAACAGTCAAAGACTTGTCTAGTGCATGTCTACATAGAAAAACAATTAAAAGCAGTGCATTTGAACACAAAAACACCTTCTGTGGGAAACAACCCTTACAAGTCTTTACAGTGTTAAATCTAAGAAAACCTCAGTCCACGGTGAGCCTGTTGTCAAAGAACATCACATACTACAGCATCCAAACCACCTCGTCTGCTGCAGCGAGACAAAGTGCTGCACCTCACAGTTTTTCATCACTGCCATGTCACTCTACACTGGAACCACAGTGACGCCCGACGAGAGCTGACAGTGTTGCCAGACAATAGGGGCGTGGGTGCCTCTAAAGGATGTATCCAGCGTGCCAGAATCTGCCCCTTTTCTCGCCCCGCTGCATCCTCTCATCTGTGCAACGGATGCTTTTACTAGTGGAACAGAGTGACTTGAGAGCAGCTAGTCATTTATAATGCCCACATTGCATGTCTGGGGCCTCAGAGGCAAAGGATGTGGGCAGAACTGTACGGGTGCGTACTCAATGCCTGACCTCTATTTTCACAGAGCCATGCAGTGATAGACTGCTTAGCACTGCCTGCTGGGCTGCGTCTGCTTCCATTTCAGTTCAAACAAAGGATTTTTTGTGTATATATGTATGTATATAATACACATTATTTTAGAATACTCTAAGACATTAAAAATATTGATCACAAAGAAAACTATAAAACAAATATAGTACAAAATGGCTTTGTTTAGATTTTTTTCAATGTTTTAAAAGCCATTTTATGTTAATGGATTGTGCTGTAAACCTAAAAAAGGAATGCTGCTGTGCTGCCACCTACTGGCCGTATATGGTAAATGTAGAGGATTGGTGTTGTCATTTTAATGTTTGATTCTCTGTTTTAGGAGACTGCAGATTACTCTAATGTCCAAGAGCTGAAGTATTTAGACATGGTTATATGCGAGACTCTCAGACTCTACCCACCAGCGTTCAGGTACGACAGCTATTACTTCATAACCGGTTCAATCTAGGGCTGTAGTAGTCGAGTCCGGTCTTTTTTCTGTGAGGTAGCTCTGCTACTAAATTTATTTTTAAAAAAATGGCTATCCTTGTACAGCTATGATCAGCTGTTTCTCCGTCTTAGCTTAGCTTTCAATTTTGTTTCGGGAAAGGATGAAGCTGATTGGTTGATTCTTGTCACATGACCCGCGGTGCACTTGCTGTGTTTTGAAAAGTTTAGATGTTTCTAATTTAATTTTCTACCTGTTAGATTGTGTTTTATTAACGTCTACACCTACTTCCTTCTACAGCATTTATTAATATTAGCTAACTTTAATTTCAGCATTCACTAATGCATTATTCAAATGACAAGTTGTGTTTGTTAACATTAATGCAATCACATGCAAAGAACCACAAGCATGCAAGAATATTAATTACACTGTTACGGCTCTTACACATTTCTATGCTTTAATTACTTGGAAACACATCTATTAGAAATAAAGCAAAATGGTTTTGGGTGTTAGACTGCATTGCACTTTTTCCCCAGAGTGAATCTTGGGTTTTGTGTATATCGTCACAGGGTTGCACGGGATGTTGATCAAGACACTATGGTGAACGGCCAGCTTCTGCCTAAAGGATCATCTCTGGAAATACCTGCAGGTTACCTTCACTATAACCCAGAGCACTGGACCGAACCTGAGAAATTCATCCCGGAGAGGTAAACTGTCTTTCAGTCAGGTTTTTCAAAGCAGAACAGTTTCAGTAGATCATGATTCTAGTATGGTTATCATATGGTTAATAATTTTCTATGAGCTAGTCAAATTCAGTGATATACACTGCTCAAAAAAATTAAAGGAACACTTTGAAAACACATCAGATCTCAAATCTCATGCTGGATATCTATACTGATATGGACTGGGTAATGTGTTAGGAACGAAAAGATGCCACATCGTTTGATGGAAATGAAAATGATCAACCTACAGAGGGCTGAATTCAAAGACACCCCAAAAATCAAAACGAAAAAAATTATGCAGCAGGCTAGTCCATTTTGCTGAAATTTCATTGCAGCAACTCAAAATGGTACTCAGTAGTTTGCATGGTCCCCACGTGCTTGTATGCGTGCCTGACATTGTCGGGGCATGCTCGTAATGAGACAACGGATGGTGTCCTGGGGTATTTCCTCCCAGATCTGGACCAGGGCATCACTGAGCTCCTGGACAGTCTGAGGTGCAACCTGGCGGTGTCGGATGGACCGAAACATAATGTCCCAGAGGTTTCTATTGGATTTAGGTCAGGCGAGCGTGGGGGCCATTCAATGGTATCAATTCCTTCATCCTCCAGGAACTTCCTGCATACTTTTGCCACATGAGGCTGGGCATTGTCACTCCCTGTGCAACCTCTGTAGGGTCCAGGTATCGCCTCGTGCTACCAGTAGTGACACTGACCCTAGCCAAATGCAAAACTAGTGAAAAACAGTCAGAAAAGAGGAGTAGGGAAAAAAATGTCAGTGGCCTCCACCTGTAAAACCATTCCTGTTTTGGGGGTTGTTTCATTGTTGCCCATCTAGTGCTCCTGTTGTTCATTTCATTAACACAAAAGCAGCTGAAACTGATTAACAATCCCCTCTACTATTTAACTGACCAGATCAATATCCCAGGAGTTTAATTGACTTGATGCTATACTCTAAACTAAACTAAAGTGTTCCTTTAATTTTTTTTTAGCAGTGTATACTGTATGTGATACAGCAAATCAGCCTATTAGATTGATTTCTGAAGGATCATGTAAGACTGGAGTAATGGCTCCTGAAAATTCAGCTTTGGAATAAATTACATATTAAAATAGGAAACAGTTATTTTAAATTGTAATATTATTTCACAATATTACTTTTTTGGATGCATTTTAAATACATGTTATTTGATGATGAGCATAATGTTATCAAAAGCATTGAAAATATCATGCTGACCTTGAACTTTTGAATTCTGTGTATCTCAGAGAATATCTTCTAGTTATTTCAAATCTACTCTGTGGATGTTCTGTTGATATTTTTTAACAAGCTGTAGACAGATCTTTGTCCGTTTTGTTTGCATGCCTCCCGTGTGATATGCTCACAATGAACTTTGTCTCAGGTTCACTCCAGAAGCCAAGGCCAGCCGGCACCCGTTTGTGTATCTGCCGTTTGGAGCGGGGCCACGCAGCTGTGTGGGCATGAGATTGGCCCAGCTGGAGATTAAAATGGCTCTGCTTCACATATTCAGACGGTTTGACATGATGGCTTGCGAGGACACTGAGGTTTGTTAGTGTTACACTGAAAAACTGCAGCTGTAGTATGCATGAAGAGTCTGTTTTCCACATATGTGAAAGTTTCCTGAGATATGGTCTATATTTTCTATTTATGTCACACAGGTTCCTCTGGAGTCGCACACCACCCTCGGACCCAAGAATGGTATTTTGGTCAAAATCATCAATAGGGAGAATTTTGAGTCCTGAAATCTAAACTCTTATTCTAGAATCACCTGACGACTAAATCATATGCATCTGTGCTACTCATGAAGTCGCACACCACCCTCGGACCCAAGAATGGTATTTTGGTCAAAATCATCAATAGGGAGAATTTTGAGGATGAGTCCTGAAATCTAAACTCTTATTCTAGAATCACCTGACGACTAAATCATATGCATCTGTGCTACTCATTTAAATTAAATGCAATTCAACACTATTAATTTACAACTAAGGCACAGATGTACACAGAGCAATGCATCACACAGTACATAATGTGGATATTATTCTAGTGAACACTATCAGCCTTTACATTTCTCATCTCAGATCAGCAACATAAGAGTGATCATTACTTACTCATTACTGTCATTAGCATCAACAGCACATTTGCACATTTTGTTACTAAAGCCAATGAAATGTAAGTCCCTTAAATGTAAATACAACAAATTATATGGAAGAAAATTTTTGATTTAGATGTAAATGATTTGATAGAAGGAACTGGGATTGGACACGTCTTGCCTTATTGCCAGCGAGATATTTGAACTTCTGATGATTATGCTGTTATTTGACATATTTTACATTACATTAAGCCGCAATGAAGTTCCAGAATGATGTGATTTTTAAGGTTTGGGTGTACAGATTGTGCTGCAATGTGATTGTTTACTCAGGGTATGAACTGTATAAACTCTAAATGATTTGAAATCAAAAGTATTACTTAATAAATGGTCTATCAGTCAGAATATATGTAGTTATCTTCAATTATACATTTCATTTAATATCAAGCATCTTAGATTAACACATCAAAGGAATGTATAAATGTTATGATTTCTGGAGCTTTAAACCACAGAGCTTTTAGAGGTTTGATTAACAGAAGAACAACTCTTTGAGAGCTAGTCTTGGTAAATAAAAATCTAGCGTAGCGTTAGTTCTGACAGGTCACGTTAGTCAAGCTCGCATCAGCTGACTCTCAGCTGATCCCCATCAACCTATGGGAATACAACACCTTTCTAAGCATTCATATATAAGGTCCCTCAGTATTATCAGCAGTTTTCGCATTGCTCAATAGCTAATTACCCTCCTCCATCCCTAGCTCCTCCTCTGTCAGTCAGGATTCAGCCTTCTGATTCTCCTTTGAATCAGACTAATTCTAAAATGTGTACATAACATTATTGAACTTTAAAGATATCTGCAATACATTTATGTTGGTTCTGTTCTGTTTACCCTGGGGGAGGCGGGTTATCGCTGCTCTCCCTGCTCTCATCCATGCTAGGCTGCATGGATGCGCAGGGAGTTCTTGCCCAGAACAGAACCATACCGCCAATCCAAACTGTAATTTGCTAATTGTCAATCATCTTTGACGATAGTGGTCCTGACAGAACCAATTTACTGTAAAAAAAAAGGACAGTTCTTTCTTGGCCAGAAAAGCCTTGTCTTGTCACAAGATCCGTTTTCCAAGACTTCACTTCTCAGTTTAACCACTAGAGGTCACAGTGACTAGAGAATTTACAATATCTGTGATTTCCTGGTTAATGTCCTGCTTCCTTTTGCCTGTGTCTTAATCTGTGATATAGTGAATAGCTGTGCTGTACTTTGCATATCAGCCTTTTCTCAAAGGTCCAGGAATGTGACGGGTGAAAACGGTAAGCAAAAGTTCCAAGTCAAATACCAGCTGAAAGACTGATATGTATTTAAAGGGATAGTTCACCCAGAAACATTTATTTTTATATACTTAGCCCAAACACAAAAGGTGGATGTCTTTATGCAACATAGAACTGGTCCATACGACTATTACACTATATTTCAAGCTCTCAGAGTCTGAACGTAGATGATAACTTTTTGTGAAAAATAGACTGACCGATATTTAAGGTGTAGACATCCACCCTAGTTTTTCTTAGCAAATTCATGAGAGAAGTAGCCATTTTTGTTTTGTTGATTATTGTTTTTTATCGACTGATCTTATTATTATTATTGTAAAAAATAAAAGGTTTTTTTTTTTTTAATTGAAGTTGAAGTTTAACTCACTATTGACTTGATCCAACCTCACCTGTTTCTGTTAAAATAATTTATTTTCTTTTTTTTACAATAATGAAAATAATATGTTTGTAACAGTATCAGTACTTTAATTCCATCCACCTCATTCAACAACATGAATTACATAAAAATCGAAATGGGCATGAGTAATGCTCAGTATTCATACAACTGTAACTAAATCATTTACGTTTCATACTGTGTTTTTATCTAGTGCAATAAAATTGATTATTTATTGATTGATAGTTAGTGGTAAGCTTTTGGCTATACAATTGATTAGGAATTTCTTATAGCCAACAAGGAAATACAATCACTGCAGTTAATACATAAAGACCTCTACATAAAATCCTGCTATTTTGTATTTACCATTTTTACTACACAGTGGAGTGTCACGGAGGATTTATTAGTCAAATTAATTATGATAAAACACAGTTACCCATTACGTAATCCCTACAACTTTTACTTAAAAGAAGATGCCCAAGAGTTGTATATTTTGGTTATGTTCAGTGATGTTAACATAAATCGTCTGTGTAACAGGACTTTCAAGAAATATGTAGACAAGGATACCTTTACTATACAAATTAAGAGTATTCAATAATGTACTCAGGATAGATCTGGAATTTCTCAAACACAACAAAAATGGCTGGGTTAGTCTCACTGTCAACACAGCTGTCATAAAAGCTTTGAGTGTTGGGTTTCTGTGGAGGACAGACTAAAGTATTGTTACCCCTTGTGAAGTTTCCCACCAGCACCAGTGCCACGAACATCTTCTTGGTCTTGCCGTTCCTGGATTTTGCATATCTGTCAGAGTATGAAGCATCTCTGGCAAAATAGCTGCCTGTAAACAAACAAACAAAAAAAAACACATTAAAAAATGTCCAATGTTTGGGAAAGCATTCGAAAATAACTCTTTGATTATAGGCTACAAAACAAGAACTGTTATACATATATGTAAATACCTTTCCCATAAAGTGTCCCGTGACTTCCACAGATCCTCCAGTCAAAGTTTTGCTCACAAATTGCTGCTATGAGAGACTCATCTGTACCATGGAAAAGGTAACGCTGGTCAACTGCACTCCCTCCATTTCTCTTATTCATCTGTTCTTTTTGCCTAGGAAAAAACATGGTATAATGGATTAATCAGGTCAATAAATAGAGTGTACCATATTGAAAATACTACTAATAATTATCTGCTAAAAAATGACATTTATTAATAAGTATACATTATACAAAGTGTATTTATGTATCAAATGTATTTAAACCAGACTTATAAATACTACTATTAAAAAATACATTATTTTATGTTTGCATAATAAATACATTTTATATAATGTATTTATAATTAAATATAAATATTCATATTAAATGTTATTACATTCATAATAATGTCACAAAAAAGCAATTTTTTAAATTTACTTTCTCATCACACATAGTTAATGTGCTGAACTACATCTGTGTGATCTTGAGAAGAACTGACTTCATACACCCACCAGAATGGCTCAGAAAAGTCAAGTTAGTTCTGACAAAAGCTCTAGCATCATTTGTTTGAAGATCAAAAAGATACATAGTATAGCTGAAGTACTGTCTGTAATGGCCTTGTGCAAATAAACTTTCTTCCAGTAAAGTCATGCAGTTGTTGTTTTTCTAGTAGTGAAATATGAACAAACGTACCACTGAAAGACCCTCCAGAGAGAGAGGTTCTGCACTCTTTCAATGCTGTGAATGATGCTTCTGGGTAGTGTTCTACTAAACATTGAGCTCACCCTTTGGTATTCCTTGGAAGAGCTTTGTAGAGGAACAGTCTGAGGAGAGTCAGGAAACAAACTGGTTTAGTTTCAGAAATTCAGTACTGTTATGGTACAGATGACTTGGTATCTGATGCTTTCCAACAAGCGTATAAACTTTGTGATGTTCCTCATTTGTAAGTCGCTTTGGATAAACTGCTAAACAGTAAGAGTAGAAGTGTTGATCTTCATCTATAACCCTAAGTACAGTACAGAATTGATTTCCAAAGTGCTTAATAACTATTTGACCTCCCTGTACTCAGTGTCATTGGAATATGTACCTTGTAGGTGAAGTTATCAAGAGCTCCTTTGTCCCAGTAAGGTGGAACTTCCACAGAAGAAGATGCTGAGCTGTCTGGAGACTCACTTCTAATTAAAACACAATACACTAAAGTGCACTGAACAACTAATAAATCCTGTTTAATATGTGTGCATGTAATGGACAAATGGTACAGTATATCATACCCCTTGATTTTGCTCTTGACATCTTGGGCAGAAACAAAACGTGGTCTCCTTCTAATGTCTCTTTCAGTTTTGTACTTCAGATTTTGCTGGCACATCTCTGAAAATGATTCGCCATTATGTGCTTTTGTTTTTTTTTACATTGTTTTTTTCTATTTAGCTTCAATTTATTTTTATTTTAGTTTTAATAATAAAAAAAAAACTCAAATTATTTAGTTTAATGTTGCAAAAGCAACATTTCTAATGTTCATTTAAGTTTTTCATCTTCTATATCACGAAAGAAATAAAATTGTTTTAGTTAACAGTAATAACACTTAAGTACCTTTAAATTTGAGGATGTATTGATGGCTCTCTGAAGTGAATGAGATTTCCTTTTCATTGTCAGCCAGGTACTGTTTCTCAAGATCTTCTGAAGTGACTGACGCCACGAGTTTAGAATCTTCCTGAAACTAACAATAGAAATGTAGTTAAAAGCTAACTGATTTTGGTATAATATATTGACAAATAATTGCTATTCTACGTCATGTTAAATGTAACATCACAGATGATTTTTCAAACTCAGGTTCTAGAATTGCTTCTGAGAGGTATTATGTTGAAAATGTGTCACTGACCCCTTTGCCATACTCTGTCCAACCTCCTTTGTCATTCCTCCAGTACCAGATCCATTCAGTGGTCAGAATGAAGTGAGGGGGTTTAGTAACAGAAGACACTGTGGACAGCCGACGCACTTCTGACACTCCACATGTCATTGACATAAAGTTAACCACTACTTGGTGCCCTGTGCTGCTCTTAATAATACTGTAACATGGAGAACACAACAGGAGTGGAAAACGGCGTTAAAAAGGCAAGACAAGCCACTATAAAATTACTGGCCACTTCAGATACCCCTTAATAATAAAGTAACATTTTGCAAATAAAGATACGAATACAAAAAGTTTAAAATCATGTACACTCACATCACATCAATAACCTAATAAAAGCATTTTAATTTACATATTGAGATCACATGACCAGCTGAATACGACTATTTTTTTCCCAGTAACTGTTCCTCTTATTGGACACTTGCTATCACAGAATTGATTAATCACAGCTAACAGTATATTTCTGCAGTGGCATCGGTAACTGGGATGTGATGGAATGATAGATTTGCAATATGAATGCTATCTGAAAACCCATTAAAATACCACTGAGTATATATATATATATATATATGAGTATTTATACCACAAAATATTAGCTGGACTGCAGTACGCCTTCTCGAACTCCTCTTCATTTGCCAAGTCTCCCCACGTAATCCCATCCTTCTGTAATATCTGCCATTTATAGGGTAGATGGTGGTGAAAACGGGCACACTTGTCTAGAGGAACATAAATAATGGGATGGTAAAGAAAACACACTTAAACAAATATTTCTTGCTTAACTTAAAGGGGTTCTCAACCATTGTTGGTCGCATTTTTAGATACCATAGTTATTGTGCTTCCATGCCCTCCTGTAACAGAATTAAGCTGTGTTATTTTCGTACAATTGATATGCTATTGTAGTTTTATTCATATTTTGAATTTGATTCTATATTTTCACTTTAATTTGAATAAAAATGAATTATTTTATCTAATAATTTTAGCTGAAGTAAAATAAATGCACGTTTTATTTTATTTAATTTCAAGTCACATATTTTACATTGAAAATGGTAGCAGCTGTTTTGGGGCTCTCAATGATACTTCTTCATATTTACCACTTGTGAGTTCACCTTTCCATCCAGGTCCCATTTCAGCGTACATTTCAGATATATTTGGTAAGTTATTACTTTTGGGGAACATTTGCCTTCATTAGACAGAACAGTGAGCGAGGAGGACAGGAAGTAAGTAGAGAGAGGGGAACAGAATCAGGAAAAGACCTTCAAACTCAGGTTGACTGCTGTACCATATTTTAAAGCACTAGTGTATTTCATGTATTTTAAGCACAAAATAACCTGTATAATTTATATATAGACTATAAAACTATAAAATTAGGCTTACAGCATAGTTTGTTACTGTTGACTAATATCTTTTTTTTAAATACACCATACATGCATTTTCTATTATGAATCACAAGGTTGAGAACCTCTTGTTTGCGATTTGCATGAAGGATATGTGTTTATTCAATGACATCACCTTTGAAACTACATCCAGTGCGTATGAAAAAGAGACAGATTTCATTGTGATCCGCTTCTCTGATGGAGCTACTTGATTTGTGTCTGGTGCGTCCTTTCACTGCAGGTAGAGCTACTGAATGAAAAGAGAGGATAAAAACAAAACAAGCACAGCAGCGATCTACAGTTATTTTGTTCAGTGCAAAATAACGTGCTAAATTACAAAACAAACTGAATCAGTTCCTCTTTTTCTTTCATTCACCTGTCTTACTCTTCTTGAAAGCTGAAGAAGCAATCAGTAACTTGGTCTTGTAAAGCCTGTGGAGTTTTCGCATGTTTTCTGGACTGAGTCCTCGGGCGTTCAGGATTTTCTGAGCATTTGCATCGAAGCAGTGGGCCCTTTTGCAAGCTGCTCCAAACTTACAGTCGTCCTGCAGGAAGTGCAGGCAGATGTGCAGGTTGGTACAGGATGTCTTATATTTACAGCTGCCGTATTCGCCATTTCCCTTGTTGTAGTGGGAGCACACCTAGACAGTAGACACATCACAACGTCAGGAGTCACACATTGAGTATAATGTACAAATTACATTACACACTATAAGAAGGTTATTATATTAAAGGAATAGTTCACCCAAAAATACTTGGGTGAACCATTTCTTTAAAAATTCAAATAATTGACACAGGTTGCAGAAATGGTTAAACACACAAAAAGTCTGAGCAGCTTCTGCAAATACTTACCTTCTTATGCAGAGTGAGACATGCTTATGTGGGTGAAGAGTTAATGTTTATACAATCTAGATGTTTTAAAGTCAGCTTCAGAGTCTGACATGACTTTCCAAGAGTCATTGGAATGAATCATGAGATAACTAGCAAACCTGTTTAATA